GTTAGTAATTTTAGGGAGGAGACAGGGTTCTTGATTCTCCATTGCCTTGCACAATGTGTTATAGTGTACATCTGTACAAAATAGGGATGTTAAAAAGCTGGTAATTGGGTAACCATGTATCTATTCCAGAGGCAGCAGTGTGGGGTGGCTTTTAAACCAGCTCCTGGTGCATAGCAATTCCCACCTGCTGTCCCGCACCACTGTCTCTAATACAGAGTCCAGAGCCAGTTCCTTGGGAGTGGGGTGGGAGCCTGCATTGCAACTGATAAACCCAGGTAAATGGTTATCCTGTTACATCCCTAGTACAAAGTGGGCCTGAATGTCCATAGCATTAAACTAGGTCCTCCTGTGTAAACTGGTATAAATCTAGAGTAATACAATGGTGATTTCTGATTGGATTGCATTTAATACCTACTTTGCACTGGTATAAATGGCAATGCAAGGTACAGTCAGTGAAGAAATAGGCCCTGGTTGAGATTGACTGATACATCATGTTTATCCAGAGTAGCGCAGGTGTTTCTACTAATCATGATCAGTAATTCCATTCATTCAAACACCTTTATTCATAGTCTAGACAGATTTGTGGAGTGTTTTGAAGTTCTTTGGCACTAATGTGGCATGTTCCCATAAAGAATCTCAAAGCACTTTGTAATCATTAATTGGTTAAGCTGTACAATATTTTTTTAGGTAGAATACTTGATAAAGCTATTCTAAAAGTGAATCTAATGACTCACCATAAGCTACACAGCATCTGTTGGATGCAGAAGTAGAACCAGGTTTCCTGATTCTCAGTTATATGCTTTAATCACTCAACTATGCTGCTTCTCATGCTCTTTTTAGTTTCTAATATTTCAGATTGTGATTGTAAATGTAACAATTATTTTTTCTGTTTGCTCAATGGAATGAGAGACTCCATTTATAGAATCATAGAACCATAGAGCTGGAAGAGGGGGATGTGTCTGACAAATTTATTTTTGTACCCAGGTTTCTCTGGTGAGTTCTTTTGGGACCTGTTTTACATTTATTTTGGGGGATTTAACTATGTATGTTCAGCTCTTTACCTAAGTGAGTGCAGTTGCAGCAGCTTTTCTGCTTGGTTGAACAGTTTCCTGTATTTCAAAATAGCCAAAGAAGCAACATACTGTATTACAGTAATAGCTAGAAGCCCTATGCTCCATTGTGTGTACATGCAAATAGCTAGACAGTCTCTGCCTCCAGTGAACTTGCTGTGTAAATAGAAAAGACAATGCAGAGAGAAAAAGGGAGTAGTAGTATGCTCATATTCTAAATTGAGAAGAGAGAAGCTAAGAGACTTGCCCAAAATTATGCTGGAAATCTGTGGCAAAGCAGAGAATTCCCCCCCGTCTCCTGAATCCCAGTTCAGTTCCTTAACTACAAAATTGTCCTACAAAAGAAAATGAAGAGGTTAAGGGAGCAAAGGCTGCCTTTTCAAAACACACACATCTGGGGTAACGTAATCAGGTACCCAGGGGGAAGAACTAGATATTTTAATCCCTTTGAACAATAAACCTACACTTACAAGAGACACAACTTTAATACTGAATTTTTGCAAATGGATATACTGAAAGTCAATGAAGGGGGAACTATAGGGTAAGGAAGCGTGTTGTATGATAGCTTGTCACAGTTGAACAGTACATAGTGTAATTTTGTGTGGAGGATAAAGCCTGAGCTATTACAAAGCTGGATTCTGAACTCTGCCAGGCTAACATAGTGAATGTACATCCCTTGCATGTGGCCCAAGAAGATTTGGTTTGCCCTTTTTTGGTTCTCTTGCTGTTAACATTAAAGGAATTGACGGTGACTCTGCAGAGAGGTGGGTGGGTTTTGTCCTCTGAGCTGCAACACTCCACCTAATACCAGGGTAGATTTCCAGAGACTATTACTTAGCCACTGCCAGTCATCTGCTTCCCAGCACAAGCTTGCCTTCCTCCTCTTACATGCAGACTTGGAGACAAAAATTATCACTTACTGTTTACTTTGGGAAACAAATTGTGCCCTATATGTGAAAGTAATTGCTGTTGTGTTCACAATTTAGCTGGTACCTAGTTATTTGATAACATAGTATGTCCATCCCATGGAGATCATTGCAATGGGTTCTAGAAACCCCATACTGAACACAGACGGAATGGGGAGGAGAGTCTCTTCTGTTTATAAGCAAGTAGCTTGATCACTACCCTACACCATTGCCAGACCTGACAATCACAGAGACAGGCACCGACAGCTTCAACCAGTAGGATATAAGGCCTCTTATAAAGGGGAGAGTACAGAGAAGCAAAGAAAAGCAGCAGGACCTATGTCAGAAAATGTGTGATAGCTCTGCCTTGTGCTGCCTCCAGGAAAACAGATGGGAGACCGCAAGCCTAAAATGTGAAGAGATGACAGATTTAATTGGAGGGTGGGCTTCAGGAACTGACCTGATTGAAAGCGAAGTAAGGAGGGTTGGTCAGAAGCTGAAATGCCTTGAGAGATCACACTAGGAGATCATGACCATTATACATACATTTAGGTCACGTACAGCACTGCACAACCAACCAAGTGGGTTGCTTTCCTGTGCAGCACCATGGATTGCCTTGTGTCCAGACTGAATGGAAAAATCTGATCCAACAGGGCAACCTTTGTAGTACCAGCAACAGCACTTAAAATGGGTTTACTCATCTATACATGATAGCACTAGTCTCCCAATTCATTCTGTAACCATAATAATGCTGCATCATGCTCTGCAACAGGGCTGAGCAAGCCACCAAGTTTCCAGATCCAGCCTGTGGATGCAGCAGGGAGCGTCAGGCAGGCTCCCTACCTGCCCCACTCCTTGCATGCCACTCTGAGAAGCGGTTGTGGTGCCATTTGTCTTTCAACAGCTGCCAGCCTGGGAGAAGGGAGAGGCTTCACTTGCTGCCCCTTCCCCCAGCACAATCCCATTGGCTAATTTCTGGCCAATAGGAGCTGCCTGTTTGAAGCACAGGAAGCACACAAAGTACCCCTCCCTCAGGCTCACAGCTATTCACAGACCCACAGAGACTGTGCAAGGGTGGGGCAGACAGAGCCTGCCTGAGAAACATGCTGTGCTGCTGAGCACGAGTTGCCCATGTAAGTCTTCCAGCCAAAGCTTGCTTCCGGCACTCCAGCCCTTCCTTCCCCCAAGCCTCTAACCCTCTACCCCACATAAACCAAACCCTCTGCTCCTCTCCTGCACCCATACCCCCTCCCAGACCCTGCATCCCAATCGTCTGCCCTAAGTCACAACCCAAACCCTAGGACCCTTTCCTGGACCTCGGTCCCCTACCCCAGGTCATAACCCTTTCCTGCCTAAGATCACAACCCACGTGCCTGCACCCCCTCATGCATTACATTCATCTGCCCCACAACCCCCTCATTCACCAAAACTCCCTCCCAGACCCCACACATCCTCCTGAAGCCCACTCTATTACTCCAAACTCCCTTTTGTACCCAACCTACTTTCAGACCCCACACCTCCATTAATATAATGGAAGAGTGCAGCCCTTGACCATTTTCCAATTTCTTGGAGTGGCCCCCCATCAAAAATTATTGCCTACCCCAGGTTTACAACCTTAGTCCAAATAAAGGGTCATATCATACTCTCCCATATGTCCAGTAATAGTGATGAAAGAGCTACAAAATTTATTCCTTTAGGCTAAAATCTGACAAAGGGAGGCAGTGAATTATCAAATCCCTATCTTCCTCTATACTTCTGTGAACAGAAGTTGGATGTTTGGCTGGATGCTGAGGGAGACTATGGGGCACTGCTGAAGGAGAACCACCAAGACATTTACTGCCAGAAAAGCCACACGGAATTTCCCTTGTTAGTTAATATTTATGGCTATGTTTATACTGCAGAGTTTTTGTGCAAAAATGGCTATTTTTGCACAAAAACTCAAGGAGCATCCACACCATAAGCGCGTTTTTGTGCAAGAAAATTTACAGTGAATTGACAGAACAGAGGGGTTTTTGTGGTATAGGTAGTCCTCTTTCTATGAGGAATAACTCCTTTTTGCACAAGAGCTCTTGCACAAAAAGGTATATATGGATGGGAAACGGTTTTTTGCACTAAAACAGCCTGTCGAAAGAAGCACAGGTGTCCTGGTGACCATTCTATGAATGGCAATCAGAGTTTTCTTGTGAGAGAGCGTCCATGTAGTTTGGATGCTCTCTTGCTCAAAAGCGCATTGCTTATCCATTGCGCTTTTGCAGTGTGGATGCACTCTTCTTGCAGAAGATTTCTTCCACAAAAAGCTTCTTGCGCAAGAAGCCTGCAGTGTAGACGTAGCCTAGGTAACAAACACTGGCTGTACAAATAAAGACACTGTGGTGGTTAGTTTCATCACCCAAAGCACACAACTATATCACTTGCATTTAAGAAGCAGTTGCTTGTTAGCAAGTATCTAGCTGGCCCATATTAGCAGTCCAGAGAAGGAACCCAGATCATATGTTCTAAGCCAATGTGTTATACTTATGTTAGATTATGCCTATCTGTGGCCAGATCCCTGGTAGCTGAGCAGCCTAGTGGCTAGGTGGCTGAGTAAATGAGCAGAAAAAGGGAGGTGCTGTCCCTCTTCCTTCGTGCTCCTGGTCCAGGAACTCCAAGACACTCACTAGTCAAGTCCTTACATTTGAGGTGTGGCCCAAGAGTCCAGTTTCTCCTTAGCTGGGGCTTCTCAGTAGGTGCCCCCCTTTTCCCAGTGGGGTAAAGTAGGGCTTATTTGCTTCCATGGCTGCTGAGTGGATGGGCTCTGGAGTGATCGCTTAGCTCACTGAACCAGCCTCTTGCTTTCTTTCTAGTCAGCCCCAAACTGAGCCAGTCTCCTTTATTTTCTCTTCCTTCCAGGCCTGGCATTGGTTGCAGGTGAAGTGGGATGGGGCTAGCTGGGCCCAGAGGCTTTCATTAGCCCCTGGGATGCTGGGTCCTCCTTTTTCTACTCTCTCATACATTTTCCCCCCCCCCCATTATGTTTCCTTTCAAGGTCAGCCCCCATTCCAAGTGCACTCCACCTTCCCGAGAGAAGTCTGCATCTACATGGGCCCTCCCAGCCCAGAGTTGGACCCAGAAAGAGGAGGGTTGAAGGCAAAGGTACTGCCACATGATTCTGGGGTTTGTGTCCTTCATTGCATGCAGCCAGAGGAGGGGAGCCTGGTCTGTGACCAGGCTAAAGTGTCTCCCGAGAAGGTCATAGTGCAGTGAGTCCACTGCCCACTTCACCACTAGCATTTCCTTCTTGATCATGGAGTAGGTCTTCTCCCTTGCGCCTAACTTCGTGCTGATGTATGGGTGTTCGTGTTCATAGCAGGCCTTGGTCCACTGGATCCTGTTGGAACTCTCATTTTTTAGGAGATTGGGGAGAGGGGCCGTGATGGAGGAGAACCCCAGGATAAAGCGGCGATAGTAACCAGCTGGCCCCAAAGCTGTCTGTCTTTGTTTTTTGAAGATGGAGGGGTGCATCGTTGGAGGGCTTGAGCTTTTTCTGATCAGGAGTTGGACAGTGCCTTTCCCTAAATTGTAGTCAAGGTAGTTGGTCTCATCTCTCCCGAGGTGGCATTTAGCAAGGTTCACTATCAGTCTGGCCTATTTGAGTGAGTGTGGCAAGATAGCCACATGTCATGTTGTAGGTGAGTCTTCCAGTTGCAGCTATAAATCACCGCATCATCTAAATAAGTAGCTGTATACTGGTCCATCAGCCACTGGAACATGGTGAGGGCGCCGTGCAAACTGAAGGGCATGGTTTGGAACTGGATGAGTCCAAAGAGGGTGAAGAATGCCATCTCCTCCCTGGACTTGGGTGTGAGGGGGATCTGCCTGTACCCTTTGGTTATGTCCAGGGTGATGATATATTCTGTCTCTTCAAGCCATCTCTTGAACTTGAACTAGGCCCAAAACCTCTCAGAGTTCCTCCTGTACAAAAATTCAGAAGGTGAGAAGCCCATGGAGGCCTGGGAAACTTCCAGAATGGTGAACATGAGGGATGGGAGAGCTGGTCCCAGTGATGCACATCAGTCAGGATGAATTTACAGAGCATAGCTTTTACAGTCCTATTGAAGTGTGCCACTAGGCCATCCATTTGGGGATGGTATACAGCTGTTCTGAGAGTTACCTTACCTTACCTAGTACAAAGATAGCTTCCCCAATTATCACCCCTAATATCATCTCATAGACACTAACCTCCCTCCCTCCCTCATCCCCCCCACTCTAAAATATGATTTGTCAATTTTATATGTGTTCACTTTTTTTTGATTGTATCCCTTTTGTATATATGGTCATGCCAATTTTCTTCCACAATTTGATCTGAGGAAGTGGGTCTGGCCCACGAAAGCTCATCACCTAATAAACCATCTTGTCAGTCTTTAAGTGCTGCATAGTCCTGTCTTTTGTTTCAGCAAGACCAGACTCACATGGCTACATATCTATTACTAGTCAGAAGAAGTGGACCAAAATCTATACCAATGTCTTTTCCCTCCTTCAGGGCCCCACGGTGGATATGGCATAGGCAAGTCACATGCCCTCTCCCTGGTGAGGCCAATGCACCAAGAGCTGGTAGTGAATCTCTTACATTTGTGGGTCCTTTTCTACCTGGTATAGATGGTCTCCCTGAATCTCAAAACTGGGGAGCCATTTTGCTTGATGGGGGGTCAGTGGTCTCTCCATTCACTGCTGCCACCCAGTCATACACTCGGATCAGGGTTTCATCTACTCATTGTTCTCCCACAAAGTCTGAGAGGTGCATCAGGACAGCTGATTGGGTAATGGGGCTGAATCATCCTTCAGTGAGTCAGCCAGAGCCCTGACTCATCTGGGCTGGTGCTGGGCATTGGGAGGTCCCCTCCCCAGGATCTATAATTTCCTCCACACTGGCAAGAACCGCTGCTTCTGATCTATCTGCTTGTAAGGACAGGGGTCGACACTCCCCAAAAGTGGGTCCCACCAGTTCGGTCAGCAGTTCAAAATAGCCCCAGTCCCTGTCCAGGATCACCAGATAGGCAAGTGTCACGGTGAATCAGAGCCAGTGGGAGCTGTGAGGCTCTGTGGCTGCGAAGCCGATAAGTAAACACTGGAGCAGCCCATTAGCAGCTTTCTCAGAGTGGGCCTACAGCCCACTTCGAGAAACACTGTCCTGGACCAAATGGACGAGAAGTGTCTTCAGCCTTCTCTCTCCCCTCCCATTTGTTATTCTTTTGAATACCTTATTTTTATTGCATTAGTAGCCCATTTCATGACTTTGATGCATGATTTGCATGCATGATTTATCCCTGTCATATAAGATGATAAATTTTCACGCTAGGATCTGTAAATCTGCATTTATTCATGCCAAATATAAGCAAATAGAAACATTCATTTTCTCTAAGCTTATAGAAACTTTTTTTTAATTTTAAGAATAACTGAAATGTACTAACATCAAGAAATAGAACTGTGCACCAACACTGCATGCACCAGTAGTAAATAACATTACAGCCAGTGGCAGCCTTAGAATGTTAACCCTAATCCTGTGTGTCAAAAGGTCGCTTTTCTTGAATTTGCCCTCATAAACTGAAAGTGTCAGAGATTTTCAAGCAATAACATAGCAAGTGATGTCAGTCTCTTGTCAGCCATTGTCTATTGAAGATATGTTTTAATAAACCTGAACTTTGGAAAATTACACTAATCACTCACAACTGTGACCAGCAGTGTGAGCAGAAGCATCAAAGCTATCCACACATTAGGAAAACTATCCTTCAGCTCTGCATTATACATGAATTGGAAAACGTTAAGTGAAGAATAATTCCCAAGTTGCAAAATGTGATGGATGTTGTCCAATTTAACAGAGGTCTTTATCACTGATGCCCATTCCCACGTGTCTCCCTCTGTGAAGATTCATACAGTTGTTCAAAAGTGTTCTGTCTGCCAGCATCTTTAGGTCATACAACCATCCTCTTCTCCAATCTTTCGGGGTACTTTGTTTGTCCAAACCATTATTTGATATTCAAGCACTGCTAATGAGGAAACAACAACAAAAAAACCCTCCCTCTTGAATTTTTCTTCTGAGCTTCCCATCACCTCATCCCTGCCCTCATAACTAAACTGTGTCTTCTGCCCATGCATACAAGTTTCCTGAAAGACAGGCTCAACTCCTAAGTTCTCCACCATTTTTTGGGCAGTAGTGATGGCATCTTCAAATATATTGTCTCTCTCTAGGCCACAGGAAAAATCATGGCAGCTTCTCATCAAAGCAGCAGTGGTTGTGATGATCATCAACTGAGTTTGTAATCCCTTGCTTACAGTGTTGACTTGGAACAGGCGATCCTACAACTGAGACCAGAAACTTGAAGTCAGTGATCTGGTTTGCCAGGCTTTGTACTTCCTGTCAGATTCTGGCCTTGGCTTTACTCGACTGTGCCAGTTCCATCAGGGCATTATAAACTTCAGTCACTTGGTTCCTCACTGGCCTTATGCCCTCAGTGAGGCTCTTCCAGCAAGTATCACTTAGTGGCTTCATAGTCAGATTTCAGGCCAGTGTAAAGGGTGTGAATGCATCCCCCCCGCACCTGGTGATCCTCCAAGTAAGCATGAGGCTGGGGCAGCACGTTGCCCCAGCCTCCCTCCCCCATGTTCCGGCTGGCCCGGAAGGTCGGGGTGATTTCCCTCTCCCAGGAGCGAGGCCAGGGATGGGGCGGGGCTACGGGGGGGGGGCAGCCACCAGCTCTTCCCACAGCTCGCACCACCCCCCAGAAATTCCTACGTTCAGGCCTGGCTTTGTAATAAGATCATTCGCGAGAATCTTCCACCTAATGGGGCTGAAAACAGGATGCATATCTTTCGCTGTACTCTGAAAATTAGATAATAGATCTAAAGAAGATGCTGCATCTGACTCAACCAGGTTGTGGAAATGGCAGCCACAAGAAACCTCTTGGATTCAGTGCAAGGATCCTGGCCTGTTTCTTCCCTCCACTGTTTCTTCCCTCCATGTTCAAACTATTGGCATTGTCTTGGTCATAGCAGTCCTGAAGTTTTATTTTATTCTCGTTCAAAATGTTTATAAATAGTTCTCATTCACTGCCTGGCAATTCCCCACCTCTTATATCCCCACAAGGGTATGGCTGATTACATTATAGGATGTTTAAGGAATATGTCGTTCTCAGAAGGTTCCATGAAAATCGATAAAGATCCAGAACATTCTAGGAAGTTAGTGAAAAACAAAGCCACGTATGGTATACCTGAAATGTTTCACTTCAAATATTCCATTTTCCCTTTTCCCACTAACACAAACAGCACTCAGAGCTTAGTGCCACCCAAGCCCAGCACCCCAGGGAGGCGCCTGGGTCACCCGCCTCCTAAATCCAGCCCTGAGAGTACAACTAATGTCTCTGTTCATCATTTTCTCTAGGGTATCATTCTCTCAAATTGTGTGTCAGGACCCCGAGATAGGTCACAATTCTGTTTTAATGGGGTCATCAGGGCTGGAGTTAGACTTGCTGGAGTTTGGGGCTGAAGCTTAATTCAAGCCCCACTACACAGGGCTGAATTCAGGGCTCACACTTCAGCTTCATCCCTGGGCAGTGGGGTTCATATTACAGGCTTCCTACCCAAGGCTGAAGCCCTCAAGCTTAAGCTCTGGCCCACCTCCTGGCTTTGCCCACCCTCCCTCAAGCAGCAGTGCTTAGGCTTCAGCTTTTGGGAGCTCTCCCTGCCTGTGGTGGTGGAGTTTGGGCTTCAATCCCTCTTCCTGGGATCATGTAATAATTTTTATTGTCAGAAGGGGATTGCAGAGCAATGAAGTTTGAGAAACCCTGTTTTAGGAAAGTGGTTTTCCCCCTCCCCTCTTTTAATTCAGTCTTTATTGGCAGAGGAGTTGTAATCCATGATATTTAGAGGAGAAGGTAAATGAGATGCAAGACACAATATAAAGGTCATTCTTATCCTATCTCCCACGCCAAATGGCAAAGCAGGTGTTAATTTCAAAATGCCTTTTCCCATTCAGTATCGTCTCTTCTCTTTATACACAGAATAGCTGGGAGAGTCCGTTTTAAAGACTGTTTCTGATTTCAGTCCTCTGGAATGAGGTGTTGCCCTCCCCAATGATCATCAGGAGACAGTACACTGGT